GGTGACCTTCTTGGATCTGGAACTATCAGTGGACCAGTAAGCAATTTTAGTTAAAACAATCACAGTGTGATTCTCTTTAAGAACTATAATTACTTTTATTCTTCCTTATCAATCTGAATTTTCTTATTTGCTTTCTGAACTAAATAAATGTTACTTCACTTGTTGTACTGACATGATGCTTGACTTTTTCTGTACAGGAACCAGAGTCTCATGGTTGCTTGCTAGAGTTAACTTGGAATGGACAGAAGCCTATGTCTTTGAGTGGAGTGACTCGAACCTTCTTAGAGGATGGGGATGAAGTTGTTCTCACTGGCTACTGCAAGGTTCCCATTCTATTACTCTTGTCATAAAAATTACTCGTCTTATTCTCGTGACAATAAAAATAATGTAAAACAGTTCTATATAGTGCTGATTTGTTCTGGTCTCATTTGTTTTGCTCTATTCTTTTTAGTTTGGTGATCTCTGGTTGCACAACGTACTTTTCATAGAACTCTCTAGCCTTTGTATGCCTACTTTTGATAACACTTGTTAGTAGAGTTTGGTGCGTTGAGCTTATTTGCTCGTGTTATTGATGACAGGGAGATGGCTACAAGATAGGTTTTGGAACATGCTCAGGAAAGATCCTTCCATCACCACGTTGACAAACAAATTCACCTGGTTTTTTGCTTTACTTTTTGTTTAAAATCCTTTTCTTGGCTTTTTTATTTTTTCTGCTAAAATTTGCATTCATGATGTATGGGCGGCGGCAAGCTCTCAGTTCTCTTATACGTGGAAATGAGTCTTCACTATGTTTTACTTATCATCTATACCCATTTAGGGCGCTTCTGATTAGTTGACCTTTAATAAGAGCTTGAGAATATTCTATCATTAGTATTGGACCAACCTAACTTGTTATGGATCTTATTTTTCTGATGAAATGAAATGTTTCACTTGAAATTGTTTTTTAGGAGAAAATGTTCTTGATTCATTTACTTGAACAATATCATAATGTTTGATTCACGCAATCAAATGGAGCCTTACTCCTGTACTCGGACGATACTCCAATATGCAAGGATGTTTTTACTTTGATATGAAATTTTCTGATCTATTTGGTCTAGTCTGATCTGGCCTCTGTGTATTTTATAACTATCCAAGTCGGGTCTTGTCTGGTCCGAGATAGAAATCAGTCCAAGTAAAAACTTTAGGAAATGTTACAATTACAGAGTATATAATCCTTTATACACAGAAGAGAGTCTCTTCCAATAATGGTTCACTTTACATTAGGGACGGGCCGGTTCCGGTTCGGGCCTGGGCCGGGCCGGGCTTTTTCTTTGGGAAGGGTGAACCGGAACCGGCCCGGGTAGGCAGCGGTTCCGGTTCAATGTTTTTTTTTCTTTTGATTTTCTGAATAACCCCCGACCCCCCCCCCCCACATCCACCACCCGAACCCCTCAAAACACCCAGCCCAACCCGGTAGAAAAAAAAATTAGGCCCGAACCGGCCGGGCCGGTTCGCACTTTAGGGGGCCCGAGCTTGCACCAGGAGTTGAGCGGTTCCGGTTGGCCCGAACCGGCCCCAAAATCGGGTACCGGGCCGGGCTTGGCCCAAATAGTACCGGGCTGGTCCGGTTCCGGGCTGGGCGGCCCTACCCGAGTCCAACCTACTTTACATTGATGTTTTTAACTAGACTGGAATTTTTTGGTTTGGTGTGGTAGATGTCTGGTCTCTATTTGATTTACAATTGTCTGGTCTAGTCTGATCTGATCTGTTTTGGGACCGAAATAAATCCAAGTAAAAACATCCTAAGTTACAAGAAACATTACACGTAGTGTAACTCATAAATGTATCCATAAATTCAAACTCTTTACTTTATCATAAATATATGCGAAAAGGTGCAAATAGGCCCATGTACTAACAAAAAAAAGGTCAAATAAGCCCTTATTTAGGAGGCTTTGTCCGGCCGTCGCCATATGGGGTGGTTCCCGGTGGAATTTTTTGATGAAATTTTTTGAGCATCTTATTCATCAAGTCTAGTTTACTCATACCAAATTTCAGCTAAAACTTCAACCGGGAAGGCATTCAAATGAATTCTTGAAAATAACTGCGCAGTTATTTGAGTTATAGAAATATAGAATACAAACTCAAGATCATGAATTCATGATTGTAAGAAAATGTAATTATATTTGCAAATAATATTAATCTTATACCCAAAAGGAGAATCTTGATTTTTAGAATTGTGAATCATACATGATATATGAGTAGGGGTGGATGAGATCCGGTCCTAGTTTCAGTCTCGGACCGGCCGATCCTGATCTTTGGCACCCCGAGCGCGGGTCCGACCCGATTAATTCTGGGTCTAGGCGGGTTTCGGGTACTCAGGCGGCCCGGTTATCTTCAAAAATTAATTTGAACGCGTTCCCGATTGAAGTTTTAGCTGAAATTTGGTATGAGTGAACTAGACTTGATGAATAAGATGCTCAAAAATTTTCATAAAAAAATTCCACCGAGAACCGCCCCAAATAGAGACGGCCGGACAGAGCCTCCTATATAGTGGTGGACTCGGGTTAGGCCGCCCCGGCCCGGAACCGGTTCGGAACCGGCACTATTTGGGCCTGGCCCGGCCCGGTACCCAGACATAGGACCGGTCCGGGCCACCCGAATTGGGAATAAAACGGGGCGGGCTCGGGCCTCCTAAAAGTGGAACTGGCCTGGGCTAGGCATTTTTTTTTCAATTTTTTTGGTTTCTCCCGGGTTGGGCTGGGTGTTTTGGGGGGGGCGGGGGGGTTTGGGGGGAGGGGTCGGGGCTTAATTAGAAAAGCAAAAGGAAAAAAAACATGAACCGGCCCGGCCCGGAACCGTTGCCTACCCGGGCCGATTCCGATTCTCCCTTCCCATAAAAAAGCTCGGCTGGGCCCAAGCCCGAACCGGAACTAGAACTGGCCCGGGTCCATCACTACTCCTATATAAGTAGGCATGGACTCGGGCCGGTTCGGGCCCGGTCGGGCCTCGGTTCAGGAAAGGGAGGCCCGGAATCGGCCCGGGTAACCCCAGGGTCCGTACCGGGCCTCGTTCAATTTTATTTTTTGCCTTTTCCTAATTAACCCCTAACCACCACCCCCCCCCCCCCCACCTCCAAACCATCCCAAACCATCTCAAATGACCCAAAATACCCAGCCCAATCCAAAAACTTTAAAAAAAATTCAAAAAAAAGAAAAATAAAAATAAAATGGCCTGGACCGGGCCCGAACCGGTCGGGCCGGTTCACGTTTTGAGGGGCCCGAGCCCGGACCGGAACTTCAGCGGGTCGGGCCTACCCGAACCGGTCACTGACCGGGCCACCGGGCCGGGCCGGAACAGTGCCGGTTCGGGCCACCCGGCCCGAGTCCAACCCTATATATAAGGGCTAATTTGGCCTTTTTATGAAAGTTCGAGAACCTATTTGACAGTTTTCCCTATAAAATTCATATTTTAATTAAAGTATTATTCAAAAAGAAAATATAAAATCAGTTGATCATCTTGTAAAATTACAACAATCGAGTAGCTGTATCAACTATGTGGCACATGTTTCCTTGTATCATACACATGTTAGTCGGAAATGCCACACTAATGAAAGAAAGTTTAAGTGAGCATTAATTACCAATTTCATTAGTAATCCTTTTCAAACAATTTGTGGATAGAGGAGATGTCTTTTAAGTTAACATGAAATTAGGGGTGGGCATACCGGTTTGGTTTAACCTAATTGAACCGAACCATACCAAACCGAACTAAACCGAACCGAAACCGGACCGTATGCAATTTGGTTTGAGTTTAGTATTATTTCTTTCAAATCGCATTAAACCGAACCGAACTGAAACCGATAAAAACCGAACAAAACCGAACAAAACCGAACCGAACTAAAGAAAATAAAAAAATCATATATTATTAACATTGGTGGTTTGGATACCGGAAATTTTTTTGTAGTATATTCCGTTAGTCTATGATAATTTTTTGTATTAGGAGACATGCACGGTAATTTACTTATACCGTACCGTTAACGAACCGAAACTTCGGTATACCGAAATGCGGTATACCGAAACTTCGGTAAGGTAAAGGTATGCAAATTTTGCATATCGAAAATTTTGGTACGGCAAAGGTATGAGAAAAAATATAAGGTATTTCATTCCGAACCACCCCTAGTCTGGATTCGCCAACATTACTTTACTTTTCAATATTAATTTTCTAAGCGATATAAGTACTATAACTTTAGCCACGAATATAAGGAAATGAAGTCTTAAATTAAGATAAAGACTATATTATGTTTCTATATACCTAAATTTTATTATTATTTATATTTATAACATAATGAAGTTAAGTGTTTAGTTATCATATACTACGCATGATTAAATGTGATAATTCTATCATTCATGTTTGTTAATGTATGTGTATATATGTATTTTATTCACACAAGAGTACAATATTACCTATCATATTTATGCAAAAATATAGATAAAAATGCAATTTCCATGTTCCGACTAGTTTTCGACTAGGCACCCGCCTAGGCGCTAGGCGCTGGGCTGGCGCCCGACTAGCGTCTAGCGCCTTTTAGAACATTGATTATGTTTGGCGATAACAATAGCAAAATTGCATTTATATTTTTACATGATTCATTTGAATAAAATTGTGAATATTACAACATTTGTACCACCAACTCTTTTAGGTTTTTTGAATATTTTATGTGATATTACAAATGCTAATCAACTATCTTATTTTTTGTAAGAAGTGAATTTTTCGTAGTGATAAAAAAGATGTAGAAGTTTTAATTTATAATATTTTATTATTATTATTTTTTCTATCTTTTATTTCCTTTTACGTTTTATTTAAATAATCAATAAATTAAAAAAGATGAGATGGACTACTACTTTCATTATCTAATTCTAAAATATAGAACTTGATCAAATAAAATAATAAACATAAGCAAATGAATCAAACCAAACTAAATTAAACATAATATTTTTTACTTTGGTAAATTGAACTTCAAACCGAACCGAACAGAAACCAAACCGAAACACAAATGGTTTTTAGTTTGGTACAAATTGTTCCAACCCCAATAAACCGAAACCGAACCGAAATCACAGAAAACCAAACCGTAAACCGAATTGCCCACCCCACCTGAAATAATGAATATGAAAGTTGGCTTGTGTGTATATTTAGGTCGAAACAATCAAACAATATATAAAGTTATAAACCCAAAGACTTATTCAATCAACTACTAAATACGGAGTATGAGAGAAAAGGGCATTTTCAACGTACTCCACTCATATTATGTCCGTTAATACTCTACTTTAACTCCAACATTAAAGAAGAATAAAAAAGAATGAGAAAACTGTCAAATGGGTCCATGTACTTTTATGAAAAAGTCAATTGAATCCTCAAAGTTTTTCGTGAATCAATTAAGTCCCTGAAGTATCAAAAAACGACCAAATCTTCTATTTTATAGGTCATCTTCCGGTTTCCAACCCATATGAATGTCTACTTGGCATTTTTATTTTAATTTTCTTTTTTTTTCCTCCTTTCTTTTTCTTCTCTTTCTTTCCTTCTCTCCCTCTCCCAGACCGTTCTTCTTTCTCCCCTCTCCCCTTTTGCGTTTCTTTTCCTTTTCTTTCTCCGGCCAAAGATTTCAAGCCTCCACCAGACCACCACTTCTCCATGTCTGCCACTCATGCCTCCCTACCCACCTCCGCCGCACCTACCTGCACCTCCGCCGCCCCTACTACCTTTATACCCGCCGGCCACCATCTCCGCCGACCGCCGGCCTTACTCCATATCCACAACCTTCGCTGCCCAGCCACCCCTGCCTCCATACCACCACTTTTGGTCCTCCTCCGCCTTTACCTTCATACCCACCGGTCACCGTCTCTGCCGCCCCTAAAAAATCCATACCCACAACCTTTACCGCCCGGCCAACTCCTCTGCTGCCCCTACCTTCATTCTGGCCACCGCCGCCCTCGACCCCCCCCGCCCGACCTCCATACCCACCCCCGCCGTGGCACTACCCCTACCACTATAGCCACAGCCTCACAGCCCCTTCTATGTTCGAGATGGAGATGGACCTGAAAGTTTATAACAAGGGGAATGAGCGGATTTGGCAGGAGAAAGAAAATGCAGACATGGGGGATTGGGGGAAGAAGAGAGTAAATGGGGGAGAAGAAATATCGGCCTGGTTTTGGGAAAGAAAAAGAAAGAAATAAAGTGAAAAAAGAAAAGAGAAAGAAAAAGAGAAAAAAGTAAGCAAAGAAAAGAAAGTAAAAGAACAAAAATCGGCCAACTACCCTTCCACGTGGGCACCAACCGGGAAACCTAAAGATGACCTACAAAATAAGCGAGGAAAAATTGAAAATAATAATCCCAACTATTGCTGGTCCGCTGAAAATAATCCCAACTATTGATTATTTTTGTATAATCCCAACTATATAGACTATCCGCCAATAATGGTCCATGACCATATATTACCTCTATAAAAAGTGAATTATAAATAGAAATTAAGCGTAAAAATTAAAAGTTGAGATTATTTATAGAGATTACTTGTTATATCTCATATCATCCACTTTAGAAACTACAAGAATTTATTCATAGGGACCATTATTGGCGGAAGGTCCCTAAAGTTGGGATTATTCTGTAATAATCAATAGTTGAGATTATTATGAGCAGACCGTCAATAGTTGGGATTATTACTATCAATTTTTCCAATAAGAGATTTGGTTGGGTTTTAATACTTTAGGGACTCAATTGATTCACGAAAAATTTTGAGGACCCAATTGACTTTTTCCTAAAAGTAGAAGGACATATTTGACTGTTTTCCCAAAAAGAATTTATAACTTTTAATATGTTTTGGATCTTTGATATACCGGATCAGGCCATGGCGGACTTATTTAGCCCGATTCACTACTTATTTGGGGTCCATTTGATCAACAATGCACTACTTTATACAAAGCTAAGCCTATTTGGGATTCCGTTTATGGATGACCTTTTGATGATTACCAATGTAAATGGTCAGTACATACAAACATAGTGTATCTTTTAGAAAACACTACGTTTTTATAACAATGCTATTTTTTCATTAATAAAATTAATATATTCTTCTGAACATTATAAAAACAATATTAGAAGGAAATTAGAAGCAAAGTGTTTCATCTAAATCAGTTAATTAATTAGCTCACATTTTCTTAGAGTCTGGAATGGGGAGAATATACCATTATTTTATAACTCGTTGCATAAAAGATTTAATGATAGAACCATGTGTTCTAAATCTTCAAACTCCCAAAGGTGCCTTTATCGTGAAATATAATACGAGTAACAAAGAAGAACAGAGCTATAATTCCCATTGGGCATGGCTGCATGGGCTATTACTCAATTCTCAGTTAATTAGCTCACATAATTAATAAAATTAGATTTGATCTCATTTATTACTATGATGATTATGGTGCAGAGATTATTTAATGACAATTAAAATGGTCTAAGTTTATTTCTTGGCGAAATTCACAAGAATAATCCATACTTTTGTGAATTCCGCAATAATATTCCCTACTGAGAGTATCCATAAAAATAGTAGCAATAGTGTCCACAAGGAGTAAATTCTCACTAATGCCCGTTTAATACTCTCAAACCCCTATATCCACTTTCCCCTTTACTACTATTCATCTCTGTTAACACTTCTATGTTCCACATATGGCGCAAATGATGTCGAGATTAAACACGTTTTATGGGGTGTTTGGATATGATTCTTAAAACTGCTTCTGCTCAAATGAAGTTAGAGTGTTTGGGTGAATGTGCAGAAGTGATTTTGGTGCTCTAATTTACTCATCGAATCAGTTTTTTAGAAGCACTGGGGAGACCAGCTTCTGAAAATCGATTCTGATTCTGCTTCTGGTTTAAAAAAGAATCAGAAGCTGAATCAGTTCCAAACACCCCTTAGTTTGAATTTTCCACGAGAAGAAGGGTAGGGAAGAGAAATTGAGAGTAATGATTGAGAGTGTTAAACGGACATTTATTTGAATTCACCCCAATTTATTCCTATGGACATCATAGCTAGTTCGGCTTATTTGTGTGGACACTCTGAGTATGAATTATTATTGTAGAATCCCTAAAAGCAATGACGGATCACTTCAATGCAAGGGTATCTATGTGAACTCCCAAAATATAAGAACAATGGTCAATGGGAATATATATGTCTAAATTAGAGTAATAATTTATTTATTAATACTTTAAGGAGAAAATGTATAATTTTGAACACCCTAAATATAAATACTAGGTCCGCCACTGCGATTAAAAGTAGAAATTATTCTTGTGAAATTCTCCTTATTTGTTTGGTATGATATGAAATTAGCATTTGTAACTGCTATCGTGATCTTGCTATTTGTAACTTGTAAGTGCTATGCGTCTATATATGCATGTGATCGTGTTATACACTTGCTGAAAAATCTGTTAACTTGAGATCTATATTATATATATTAAAACGGAATAGTGGAGCAAGATTTTGAGCGGGAAGCTGTGAAAAGGTTTGCCGTAAACCTGATTGTTCTCTGTCTTTTAGTATTCTACAATTAATGTTCGCTGGCCGAATCTTTATGGTAGAATTTGGTTATCAATATTCTAGAAGTCACTTTAGCAATTCCGAAACATCTCGGTAATTAAACGGTGCATTGGATGATGTTCTTAATCTATTGTTTGGACATCTCAAGAAATTGAAAGATCAAGGAAGAGCAGCTACCCAGGTAATCAAAGGGCACACCATTTCAAACACGTAGCCACATCAATGTCTATAAAACCAACTTCAACTAAGCATAATTCCATCCATTGGTGGAAAATGAGACACAACCTACTTCTATCGCGCGGCTCAATCACCAAAGCATAGATCTTCCGCCATCTTCATCCACACCCATGTCCAGGTCTTCAGTTAGATGATTGAATACATAGTAGTTTCAATTCTTTATTTAGAGAATTTTGGTTTCTTTGTCGAAAAATTATTTAATGTCATCGAAGAAATTGCCGCGGAAGGTTAATGTCCCAAATTGGAAAGGAAATATAGAGGAAGGGTGCGGTCACATATGGGTTTGTCATGGCTGTTGAGGGTCTTGGTTACCACTGGAGTTTGGTGATAAATGGGTTGGGGATGGCAGCGGCCAATGGACGTTTTGGTCACGTAAGTCGCTTGAGAGAGTCAAATCAAGGTAAAGAGCTGTCTTCACCAACTACCTAGCCCATTGCTTTATTTCTTTGTTCTGTGGCTTCTATTTTATGCTGGAATAAAGGAATCTAATGTTCTACTTTTTATATTCTGTTTGGGAATTTAATATGTGTCGAAGTTACGTTTTGTGTGTGTGTATGTACTTTAAATCTTTTTGCGCTACTTCTATTGCCTAGGTTGATGCCCAAACACATATTAATAGCTTACACATACATGTATAAGGAAAATGCACTTGAGGGCTAATTAGGCTTGACATGCAAAAGTTAATTTGCAGGTTGAAGTTAGTGATCTCAAGACTGATCTAGACTAGATCAAGACTGGCCTCCTTGGTTGTTAACGATGTTGAGGTTGAAACTGAGGTTGATTGTTTCAAGAACTCTATTTAAGGATGTGCTTGATGAAGCCATTGAGAGAGAAACAATGAGAAATATGCCCATTGATAAAGTCAGCTGCACGAGTGGACTTATATTTGTGAACATTAGTTAAAATTGAACTTATATTATAATGTCTAGATTTGAGATTAAGGGGGTTGTTTGTACAAGCCAAGTAGTGGCTGGTAGGAAAAATATAAAAATTGACGCTTTATTTTTAGAGTATTGGGTTTTCAAATGTAAAACATCCGAATTTTATTTTGGAATGGTGAAGATGCCATTAGACGATATAAGCAAAGGAATTGCTTACAGTCCTACTCTACCAGTCTACCTCACGTTTTGAGAACTGCCCTATACCCCAAATCCCCAATCACGAACATGCTCATTATGGGAGGCCTTTTAAATCTCTCCCGCATCATCGCTGAAGACTAATTTTGTTGATGCTGCTAACAATATTTGCCGTGTGATTTTTTTTTAAGGGCCGTGTGATATTTTACAAAATTATCTTTTGGCATATTACAAAAATGTATATAACTATTGTAATTAAAGTTCAAAAAGAATGAATACAAAGTAACTCATCAAAGATAGAAAAAATATCGCAGAGAAAAGACAACGAATCTTTGCTAATAAAAAACAAAAAAATTGGGTGATTTTTTCAATTAGTGAGATACTCCGTAATAAATTGCTCCTTTATATTGAAAAAATATATCGAATATATATTTACTTTGTGGGGTCTTCATAAACTACTGCATTATACTCCGTATTATAGGAATATATACTTTCTATTTATATTATTAAAATTATTAAAATAAGATAATTGAAGGTGTCAATAAACTACTCCTTCACACCGAACAAATTCTCCTGTTCATCGCACTGTTCTCCCGTGCATCGCACGGGTACTATACTAGTTTCGATAGTAAAGTAGTAAAAGTACTTCGTATTAAATGGCTTACTAAGCAACATATAAAAAAATCATAAAATACATTTTCTTTTATTGGTTAGCTAGTAGGATTACCTCCTACGTACTCCTGGTTGCATCTCTAAATATAATTTTAATAGACGGGATTTGGAAAATGATGAACACATTCTGTCCTATGTTTGTTGATGAAAACTTTGTTTAAGCCTTTCTTTAGATTCTTTTTGGAGTACTAGCTAGTATATTAGGATGAGTGATAAATTGGAGAAAGTGGCCCGACCATACAATTAATTTCTTCTTTCAATCAGTGATAAATTGGAAGAGATGAATGGTTTAATTATCGAAGTTGCAATCGTTCAGAATGTTTTATTTTTTAATATTTTAAAACTGTGATTCTACAATGGTGAATTTAACAAATGTAAATCCTGTTTTATTACAGATGTCTTGAAATATTATGATTATCCATGTTACTATAGGAAAATAAGTTTTACAATTTCTTTTTATTAAGCCCATTATAAATTCTCCTTCCCTAAGCCTTCAAACTAGGGCTGGGCACGGGCCGGGTCGAGTAATGCAAAATAAAATGGAACGCCGGTTCCATTGTACGGTCCGGTTCGGTCCGGGTATTGCAATTTTCAAAATAGAAACCGGACCTTACCCGGCCCATTTGAAACGGGCCAGTCTGGTCCGGGTTTTTCGGTTCCAATTCTCATGTCTTACTCGAAGCAAAAACTCACAAAATTCAAAAAATCAATAATCAATAATCAATAATGTACATTGGCAAGTTTCAAAATAACAACATATATAGTGGTGCATATGTAACACAAGTGACAAGTATAATACTCCATAACTTCATGCATCAAAGTCCCAAACAATTAAAAAAGTTCCAAAATTCAACTACATATAGCTACTACTTCGTATTAACAATAATATTATAAAAATAAATATGTGTTTACAAAATCATTTTTAATAAATAATTAAATTCCATAGAAACGAATAATTCAATAACAATAAAAATAACAAAGGGAAACAAAACTATTTATTATCACAAAAATTATAGGAGTATATAGTATATATAACGGGCCGGGCCGGGTACCCGACATTTTTTTATTTTGGAACTGGCCTGGATCTTAAACAAAATTTACCCGGCTCTACCCTCGGACCGTTTTCTCGCAAAAAAAAAAAACTGAACCAACTCGGTTTGGACCCGAACCGCCATTACCTGAACTAGAC